ACATAAAAAAGAAAATGTTATATTATTAATATTAATAGTATCTCAAAGATACTAAAATAGCTAAATATTTTCTCTTTTTTAGTAAGTAAAATTAAAATATATATATATATTGTTATTATTTGTATTATTTGAAATAAAAAATGTCAGACCAAAATAGTGTTCCATTTTGATTCATAATTGTATATTTTTATTAGGAATAAATAGAAAACATGCTAAATCTAGATAATAAAATGCAACTAACCAATAAAATGCAAGTAGTCTATGAGCTAGATAAAGACAGCGTTCATAATAACCCACCCTTTACTTACCAAGATGCCGTCATACTTTGGACTTCATGTGGAATTGTGTGCATTACAGTCATTTACATTTAGCAGACTTTTTCACATATCACATCATACATTTATTACACTCATGTAACACAGGGATTCACAAATGTTTTTGTCAGCCAAGCACATTTAAGCTAAAATATTTAGAGATTTGCAACTAGTTAATAGTGAGCATTTGGTCCTTAAAATAAGGTGTTACTCATTATTTATTATTACTAGCTTGTCAGAAACCCAGCAGCACAGTTTGGACATTCTTTATTCGTGGAGACTGTATGGCTGGACGCTTGGTATGAATCAGTGCGAGTACGTTCTGTCTATGTGTGAGTGTGTTACCGTTAATGTTATCGCAGTAGTAAAAGTGCTCGATGTTGAGGGAGGGGCAAACGGACACCAGCTCCTGAAGCCCCGCCCCCGTGATGAGCAGACAGCCGGAGAGATTGAGATGCAGCAGCAGAGGGAGTCCTCCTCGCTGAGACAGACACCTGCAACAAACACAAACCTTCAGACACTGTCTGCTTTGTGCACCGTCTAGATGTGCGTGTGTGATTTCAATAACAAAAGTCAGGATTTCAGAGTAGCATGAGAGCCCAAAAGCATCATGACATCTTTATCAATGCTTTGTATGACTTAAAGAGTTAATTTTGTATTCATACTGCTTGTAATCCAATTCACTGTTAATTGTTTAATAGCCAGCATTGTTACTGTTACCAAAAACTATTTACAAAAATATTTTCATTAATTAAAATAAACTTACAAATAAAATAAAATAAAATAAATAAATGTGAAAAAAAAATGGGGGGAAATTTTTACTTTTTATTAAAAATTAGACAATTAGAAATCTGAAATAAGTACAAGCCTATGTACTAAAATTATTAAAAACTAAACTGAAAAAAAAAAGATAAAACAATAAAATTGCATAACCAAAATGCTAAAACAATGTTTAATAACCAATGTTGCAACTGTTTGCTAAAACTAAAACCATTAAAAAATTGTTTTCGTTAATTGAAATAAAGCTGAAATAATATACAATTAAGATGAACAACTTAAACTTAAAAAGAAAAAAAACTAAGGCTATTAAAAATTATTCTGGTATTTGAAATTACTATATATATATATATAACACAGGACATAAATATAAGGGTAAAATATTAACAAATCTTAATTATATTATTAAATATATAAATATTAAAAATACACAAAAATAATCTACCAATATATCTCTCTCTCTATACTATCTATCAATCTACCTATCTACACACACACACACACACACACACACATATATATATATATATATATATATATATATACAGTATATATAAACAGTATATGTAAGGCAGTATATGTTTTCTTCTCTAAATTCCGTTTTAATTTTTCTAGACTCCTTTTTAATGGTTAAATTATTTTTTATTAATCAAAAAGCATGTCTAATTAATTAAAATAATGAATCTTACACAATTTCATATCAATTCATTAAAAGTTTAACAAAAACTACATGCTTGGGGCCCTATGAAATGTTTTGTTTTTTTAAATTCTGTGTTTTAGCATTTCTAATCATTTGAATGCATAAAACCAACTTAATTTATTTAAATTTATTCTTAAAATAGCCTTATGAAATGTTTTTTCCTCAGAAATTTTGTGTTGTGTAATTACATTTTTTCTAAATGAAGGCATAAAACATTAATTTCATTTATCTTTTAATTATTGAAAAATTTAACTTTATTTTTGGCAAACAAAGCGGAAATCATAGGGCTCTCTCACTCTATATATATATTTATATATAATATAATATTGACCTAAATATTTGCTTGAGAAATCTGATAATTTTGACTTCACTGAGAACTTGAAAGCTTGTTTTGTTTATATTTAATTTTAATTTAACTTTTTAAATAAAGGAATGTATTTAATAGCATATTTGCTTTCACTGACGTATCTAATTTGTTTAAAGAATCATGAAATTTCTCAGGTATTTCCACTGACTACTGAAACTGTGGCATTATGACAACAAATCACTCACGAGAGAGCATTTATTTCGTACCTCAGGCCGAGATCCGTGATCTGATAGCATCCAGACAGGCTGAGGAACATGAGTGCCCGATAGGCTCCTGATTGGTCAGTCCTGTTGTGATGCTCGGGGCAAGTTTCACCCTCAAACGAGCATTTAGTCCGAAACTCAACACTGCCCCCGGTGGCCTGGAGGTCACAGTGCGCTTCTCTCACAGTCCAGAGCGCCATGTCAGAGGTGCAGCAGGTGGAGTGACCACAGAGGGCCTCGCCCATAGAGCCGTACTGCCAGTGGGAGGAGCTAATACCAGTCCTGAAGCTCCGCCTCTGGCTCCTCCTACAGCAGCATGAGCCGCCGCCTCCCTGCGGCTCAAAAATACAGCCACGCCCACTTTCATGTGCAGCCACGCCTCCTCGTCTGCTCCAGTCGGCTGCATCCTCGATGTCGGCGAGTTTGGCCGGGTCGAGAACCCAGACGTGGGCGGGGCCACAACCGGAGCCACGCCCACCAGGTCTCCACTTGAAAATGAGATCCTGGCAGCTGCGTCCCATTAGTGGGAGGGAACACTCGTCCTGGAATTTGATTGGCGAGGGTGGGGCTTTCAGCAGCTTGGCTCCACGATCCGGGCAGGGCGATGTTAAGTCGCCCAATCCCAGCGACAGGATCTTTAGTGTGCGGTCCGTGATTTTGTCGCATCCCGAGAGATCCAGCCGCTCCAGAGTACGACACGCCCCAAACTCCGCCCAGCTGGAAAAAACGGAAAGTTGTAATATTCACGATTGCAAATGGGCAGTGTTGGGAAGGTTACTTTGGAAATGTAATAGGTTGCAGATTACAAGTTACCCTATTTAAAATGTAATAAGTAGCGTAACTACTTCAATTACTTCATTAAAGTAATGTAACTGATTACATTTGATTACTTTTCTAAAATTATAATGTTTTCAACTGTTAATCATCTTTAAACATTTATAGCAGGCAGGGTTAACCTTACAGTAGAACTCAACACTGATTACTGTCAGACTTTCACAATCCTTCACAACTTGAATTGAGATTATAATAATTGAATTTTAAAGCACAGCCGCCACAAAATCAGACTTTAGCACCTCTTTTTACTTGGAGGTTAAATACAGACTTAAAATCATAACAAGAAATAGTTTAAGAGATATGATACTCTTATTTTAAATAAAATCTTCGCATAGCTATGACAGGAAACACTGGCATCTAACCATGTCTTGGAAAACCTTAATCTTAAAAAATAAAGCATATACATAAACCCAAATAGGAAATAAAACGGTTATCGAATAAGCATGCGTCCTATTCTGTCTCCTGAAACATCGGTGTCTCATATTTTAAAGCAGTCAATGCAATTTATGAAAGAAGTCAATCAAATCTGTATGTGTGAAAAAAATTCAGATGTAACACCCTTTGTAATCGTTAACATTTTCATAAGTAACTAATTTAATTACACATTTTTTCTCAGTAACTGTAACTGATTACAATTACATCTATATTGTAATTAAATTACGTAACTAGTTACTCCCCAACACCGCAAATGGGAAACGCAAAGGCGCCTGTTTGGCAATATATTCGATTTTGAAAAGCCTATTGACTGGAAGGTTTTTTTTTAAACATTCGTTTCTTATTTATTGAATCAACGCAGAATTGCCGCTAATTTGAAAGTGAAAGTAAAATGCACACGGCACTTTTACAAGCCATTTGAAAGCGAAGAAACTCTAGAAATTCGAAATTCTAGAAACTCTGGAAATTAGAAATTCTAACAAATGCCCAGATAAGTGTTGGTTTGGAAAAAACTAATCAGAAGAAGAGCAAACCTGTCAAAGGCAGAGTCGGAGACGTCAGTCTGCGTGAGATCCAGGTGAGTCAGGTTTGGGCACAAACTGAGGATCTGTCGCACCTGGAAGGAGAAATCAGGGTATTTATTTACTTATTTATTTATTTAAATGGCAGAACAGCATCAAGGAATACATACAATATACAATTACATTTATATTCAAATGATAAGAACAACTTTAAATAGTTCACTCAAGTATAATAACTATATTTCATAGAAAAATAATAATATAATATAATTAATACAGTATAATATATATAAGTAGAATGAATTACATTTAATAATAATATGAATATTAATAATAATAATAATAAATGAATAACATATTAAGATAACAGCAGGACAGAACAGGAAAATATGCTTAATAGTCAAAGTTATTTTACAAAATTACAATATAATAACTATATTTCATAAAAATATAGTACTATAATATATCTAACAGAATATAACATTTAATATAATAATTATATTATGTTATATTACATTATATTATATAATTCCCGGATTAAACCTTTTTTAAAAAGTATTAATTCATTTTAGTAATAATAATTGTAATAACAATAAAAGCAGGAAAATATGCTTAATAGTTAAAGGTATCTTTCAAAAATGTTATATAATAACTATATTTCATAGACATACAATATAACATAAGTAATATAAGTATAACATAATAATGATTAAGATTAGATTGCAGGTCCCAAATGAAACCTTTTTTGGGAATTAAAAAAACAACAACTATTAATTAAATGTAATAATAATTAAAAAAAGAATAAGATTTAGAAGGACAGACTAGTAAATATGCTTAATAGTCAAAGTTATCCTACCAAAATATAATGTTAGTTAGATTATAGCTCACAGATTATACCTTTATAATAATTTAACAATTATAAAACAATTTAAAACATCGGGCCTCATTCATGAAACAAGCAGAACAAGTTTTTGTGTAAATTGCTCGTAAACTGACGTAAACTTTCGAATTCATGAAAATGTTCGTATTTTCAAAATGTTAGTTGGCACGAAAGAAATGTACACTTGCGCCCTACCACGTATAAATGGTGCGTAAAACGTTCTGTGTTCTTTTTGGCAAACTGATGACACTGCATTCTGATGCAATGCTATCATAATATTTCACAAGCTCGTTTGCTCGGTCTTTGCTTTTTTTTTTGTAGCTGGGAGTTCACAACTGTAAAACGCAGCGCTCGTCACTGTCACTTTTTACCCAGCCGTCCGATCACGGTGGAGGAGGGGTGGGACAAATACTACACCGACCAATCACCCAACTTTGTAAAATGACAATGGAGAAGTTAATATTGCTGGTAACTCAAATCATTGCAACCAAAGCTCCACCAGCTGGCCGTTTTTAGAAGAGCGCCTGCTGGCTAAAAATGCTTTGGTGGACACCCGTTAATTTAATGTTTATTGTTAAAGTCCCCCTATTATGGATTTTTGAAAATGACCTTTCATGCAGTGTGTAACACAGCTCTAAGTGAATGAAAACATCCTGCAAAGTTTTAAATCTGAAAGTGCACGGTGTATAAAGTTATTGTCTCTCAAAAGAAAGAGTCGACTCTGAATCAATGTAACTGATTACATTTGATTACTTTTCTAAAATTATAATGTTTTCAACTGTTAATCATCTTTAAACATTTATAGCAGGCAGGGTTAACCTTACAGTAGAACTCAACACTGATTACTGTCAGACTTTCACAATCCTTCACAACTTGAATTGAGATTATAATAATTGAATTTTAAAGCACAGCCGCCACAAAATCAGACTTTAGCACCTCTTTTTACTTGGAGGTTAAATACAGACTTAAAATCATAACAAGAAATAGTTTAAGAGATATGATACTCTTATTTTAAATAAAATCTTCGCATAGCTATGACAGGAAACACTGGCATCTAACCATGTCTTGGAAAACCTTAATCTTAAAAAATAAAGCATATACATAAACCCAAATAGGAAATAAAACGGTTATCGAATAAGCATGCGTCCTATTCTGTCTCCTGAAACATCGGTGTCTCATATTTTAAAGCAGTCAATGCAATTTATGAAAGAAGTCAATCAAATCTGTATGTGTGAAAAAAATTCAGATGTAACACCCTTTGTAATCGTTAACATTTTCATAAGTAACTAATTTAATTACACATTTTTTCTCAGTAACTGTAACTGATTACAATTACATCTATATTGTAATTAAATTACGTAACTAGTTACTCCCCAACACCGCAAATGGGAAACGCAAAGGCGCCTGTTTGGCAATATATTCGATTTTGAAAAGCCTATTGACTGGAAGGTTTTTTTTTAAACATTCGTTTCTTATTTATTGAATCAACGCAGAATTGCCGCTAATTTGAAAGTGAAAGTAAAATGCACACGGCACTTTTACAAGCCATTTGAAAGCGAAGAAACTCTAGAAATTCGAAATTCTAGAAACTCTGGAAATTAGAAATTCTAACAAATGCCCAGATAAGTGTTGGTTTGGAAAAAACTAATCAGAAGAAGAGCAAACCTGTCAAAGGCAGAGTCGGAGACGTCAGTCTGCGTGAGATCCAGGTGAGTCAGGTTTGGGCACAAACTGAGGATCTGTCGCACCTGGAAGGAGAAATCAGGGTATTTATTTACTTATTTATTTATTTAAATGGCAGAACAGCATCAAGGAATACATACAATATACAATTACATTTATATTCAAATGATAAGAACAACTTTAAATAGTTCACTCAAGTATAATAACTATATTTCATAGAAAAATAATAATATAATATAATTAATACAGTATAATATATATAAGTAGAATGAATTACATTTAATAATAATATGAATATTAATAATAATAATAATAAATGAATAACATATTAAGATAACAGCAGGACAGAACAGGAAAATATGCTTAATAGTCAAAGTTATTTTACAAAATTACAATATAATAACTATATTTCATAAAAATATAGTACTATAATATATCTAACAGAATATAACATTTAATATAATAATTATATTATGTTATATTACATTATATTATATAATTCCCGGATTAAACCTTTTTTAAAAAGTATTAATTCATTTTAGTAATAATAATTGTAATAACAATAAAAGCAGGAAAATATGCTTAATAGTTAAAGGTATCTTTCAAAAATGTTATATAATAACTATATTTCATAGACATACAATATAACATAAGTAATATAAGTATAACATAATAATGATTAAGATTAGATTGCAGGTCCCAAATGAAACCTTTTTTGGGAATTAAAAAAACAACAACTATTAATTAAATGTAATAATAATTAAAAAAAGAATAAGATTTAGAAGGACAGACTAGTAAATATGCTTAATAGTCAAAGTTATCCTACCAAAATATAATGTTAGTTAGATTATAGCTCACAGATTATACCTTTATAATAATTTAACAATTATAAAACAATTTAAAACATCGGGCCTCATTCATGAAACAAGCAGAACAAGTTTTTGTGTAAATTGCTCGTAAACTGACGTAAACTTTCGAATTCATGAAAATGTTCGTATTTTCAAAATGTTAGTTGGCACGAAAGAAATGTACACTTGCGCCCTACCACGTATAAATGGTGCGTAAAACGTTCTGTGTTCTTTTTGGCAAACTGATGACACTGCATTCTGATGCAATGCTATCATAATATTTCACAAGCTCGTTTGCTCGGTCTTTGCTTTTTTTTTTGTAGCTGGGAGTTCACAACTGTAAAACGCAGCGCTCGTCACTGTCACTTTTTACCCAGCCGTCCGATCACGGTGGAGGAGGGGTGGGACAAATACTACACCGACCAATCACCCAACTTTGTAAAATGACAATGGAGAAGTTAATATTGCTGGTAACTCAAATCATTGCAACCAAAGCTCCACCAGCTGGCCGTTTTTAGAAGAGCGCCTGCTGGCTAAAAATGCTTTGGTGGACACCCGTTAATTTAATGTTTATTGTTAAAGTCCCCCTATTATGGATTTTTGAAAATGACCTTTCATGCAGTGTGTAACACAGCTCTAAGTGAATGAAAACATCCTGCAAAGTTTTAAATCTGAAAGTGCACGGTGTATAAAGTTATTGTCTCTCAAAAGAAAGAGTCGACTCTGAATCATTGAAACGTGTCGTTTTTAAAACGAATCCCAAGCCATTTTATCTTGATGTCAACATGAAACATTAGCATATTGCCCGCCCACTTGTTGGTCTTTCCGCGTTGGTCTGAATGAAGATGCAAATTAATTCTTTGCCACTAGGTGCCGCTTTTGAAGCTGTAAAAATAGCTGTTTGACAATGGAGAAGTTAATATTGCTGGTAACTCAAATCATTGCAACCAAAGCTCCACCAGCTGGCCGTTTTTAGAAGAGCGCCTGCTGGCTAAAAATGCTTTGGTGGACACCCGTTAATTTAATGTTTATTGTTAAAGTCCCCCTATTATGGATTTTTGAAAATGACCTTTCATGCAGTGTGTAACACAGCTCTAAGTGAATGAAAACATCCTGCAAAGTTTTAAATCTGAAAGTGCACGGTGTATAAAGTTATTGTCTCTCAAAAGAAAGAGTCGACTCTGAATCATTGAAACGAGTCGTTTTTAAAACGAATCCCAAGTCGTTTCATGTTGACGTCAACATGAAACATTGCCCGCCCACTTTTTGGTCTTTTCGCATTGGTCTGAATGAAAATGCAAATTTATTCTTTGCCACTAGGTGCCGCTCTTGGAGCGGTAAAATAGCGGTTTCCCCGGTAACGCTGCACACAAAGCAGCACTGCGCTCACAAACGCTGCTTTATCAGGCATTACAGGCGAGATGACATGAAAATTAGACCAATCGGACAAATCACCGCAGATTAGCATCACGCAAAGAAGGGGTTTGGAAAAATGAATCGTTAAAACAAATCATTTGGGAGTCTTTGAGCAAATAAGGTAAAAATAAATGCATATTATAAGACAATAAAAGTGTTTTTTGAGCTTGCATGCATGTCAACCTGTTGTTGGGGACTCCCAAAACCAAAACATGAACCTTTTAACCATAATAGGGGCACTTTAAGGCCGTTTCACACTGAGCGCGATGCGAATTGCCGACGAACGTTGCTTTCACACCGAGCGGGAAAAGATTGTTCGCCTTCTGCTAATAATTCACGCCTGCACGCTAGGGGGCGCCGACCAACAATGCATTTTTCCTCAGATATGTGTCTTGTATATGGATTTAACATCGTCCACTGCTCAATATTCAGCATTAAATATAGCTAAATAAAGTTTGGTTCTACGCCAGAAATACAAACTATCTATAATGCTTACAAGAATACATCCTAAAATCAACCCTCTACATTGAGAGTAAATCACTCGCAAATGCGACTAAATCTTACTCTGGGCGACTAAATAATGTCTAACATTAAAACAAGCAGAAGATATGCCGGTTTCTCGGCAGTGGGCGGAGCTAATGCGTGAACAGCTCTCGTTGGTTGGCGCTCATCCGTCCCTGTTTTGATTTCAGCAAATCAGTTAGAGCAAACGCTGACAACGTGATTAATATTCATGAACCCAGCAGATAATAATAGTAGTAGTAGTATCTTTTAATAATAATTA